AAAAAAAAAAAAAAAATGAAAACAACTGTCTGAAAACCCATTTAACCAACACCAACAGATTCTCATTCTTAACAACAAGATATAGCATAATCACGATTATTTATTTACAAATCAAACCCTTCGCCACTAGCCTACTTGGTATTGCCATGTGAATCTCAAGAGTACGCATTCAGGAATAACAGATGACATAGGAGTTTAAATACAACTTGCAGACTTGCAGCCACCTATATACAACCTAATGCCAAACTCTGGTTCACTGCAAAGAGAGTGCAATGGCTTCTTGGTTCTAATTATACCAAATGATTTGCGCCAGAAAATTACTCAAACAACTGTAGAGGAAGCATCTTCGATGTTGTTCCATGATTGAACTTCCATCTTCTTTGCTCTTTTCAGTTGTTTCAATAGATTGAGTCGTTCAGAACAATACGGAGAAGGAATCTGGTACACAAAAACAAATAAGCATAAATATAGAAAGCCATCAAAGAGGGGGAGGACAACAATGAACAATACGTTGACCAGTTTTACCATAGCTGGCATGTACTTCTTGATTGCAGCAAACATGGCTGCATGGCCTACAGCAGATACCTGGTCACAGAAGAGGAGAGGGTGTTTAACTAGATCTTCACAAATTGTAATACCAGTTCATGATCTGTCTCATGTTGTATCCAAAGCATAATTCAGTGTAAAGGTGAATACAATAGTGTATGTATTATTATTTGCGCCAACAGGGACGGAGCTAGAATTTTTCGATTTTTTTTTGGGAGGGGTGAGAGAATGGGCAAAAATCTCATACAGAAAATATACAAAACTAGAGGCCTAACCTAGTAATTATCAACAAACATGAAGTGCTAAAAGATAATTTTAGACACTTAGGTGGGCTATGGTCCCCCGTCATAGGTGGTCCCCCCTTGCTTGCCAACATCAGCCACTAGTTGTGAAGAAATAGGCACCAGTTTTTGTATTTGGATTTCTAGAACGAGGCAAAAAGATTGACCATTTCAATGGGCGGTTCATTCATATTAAATCTTATAAGCAGCAGAAGCGAACCATGATTCATAAGCATCAGCCATGTCTGTGAAGGTATTGAAGAAATAGCCTAATACATGCAAGCCACTCGACCTGGTTCTGGGGATTACCATACACTAGACTCATCTATCAAGTGATTGCATATTTCCATTTTATTCACGTAATGAAACAAAAGCATCCACATTGAATGTGGCCATTGCAAATTGCATTTGTTCACTAAGTGGTTAGGAGAAAGGATAACTGGAAAGAAACACAAATTTTGTGCCAAACCCACAAGACTAAAATGTACATGGTATGTCTTTACTGAAAAAAGTTTTGTTTATTAGATAATGTTTTTCCTCCACAAATCTTCATGATTTCCCTCTTACTGTGTACAGTCTCGTACTCTTTTTTGAGTTACTCTTCATTCAAAACCCACTCTGCTAGATGCTCGTGACTGGTGGACAAAGACAGCAAAGACCAGCTTAGTTTCGGGAAACAGATTGGAGTTGGTTGAAATAAATAAAACTGAAGTTTTATATTATACTTACAGGTAGCAGCATTAGCACAGTAACTGGGATAAGAGCAGCGATGTCAACTAGTGTTCTTTCTACTTTCTTCCTCTCCCTCTTTGTGAGCTTGCACCCACGCAATTTCTTCACAAGATGCTTCAGGGCATTCAAAATATCGATGAAGAGCAATTGAGTACCCATCCACATATCCTGTAAGACATTTTGCTTAGCACAGAGAAAGAAACACTCATACCAACTATACACCACGGATCAAGGGCCTTACAGCACTTGTAGATATCAGCTTGACGGTAGATTCCTGCAGTAAACTCTTATGCAGGGCCTTTGATTTAGTAGCTGCTCGGGTCCTCTGGTCCACTCCAGCTGAGCTAGTAGTCTGTCATTACGAGCAATTAGTGGTACCAGTTACATAAGGAATTAGATGCATGCAAGTGGAAATAAGGACAAAAACAGACATTGACCAACATTCCACATCAAATTTTATGTATGGCGTACAGGGAGGGCTCTGGTGGCTAACATTAATTGTCACAGTAAGGAAAAGTACTAGAGCATTGCCTTTTATTTTTGTTCATTGACTTTTTGGATTTTTTCTTTCCTTTAGGTGGGGCGTAGTGTTCAAAATGTTTAATTTATCTGAATAAGTACCTATATGTATTCATAAATTATTTGCTTTTTATAATAATATATATTTGACCCTCCCACATCTGTAGCAAGAGTTTCCTGCATTGGACTGCCTTTCAGCTTATTAAAAGTTTCTTGGAAAGGTAACGAAAGAAAACAACAGTCCATCATACTTGTGGCTACTTTCAATTCATAGAGGCTCTGATTTCTTTGGCGATATATGTGTAAGCTAATTGATAACCAAGACAAAGATGTCATACTGGTCCCTGGTAAGTCATCGACCAGTAGTCCTTACCTTGCTCCATCTAGATCCACTTCGATGCTTTCCCCTTTTCAATAAATCAATCGGCAATTGCTGTGCTTCCAATATTACAGATGAATTCGTCGTTCCTTTGGTTAAAAAATATGCTGCTGGGTCAGAGATGCCTCTTTCCGTGATTCTCAGCAGTTCACTACTTGAGAAAAGAGACACAAGATCAAGGATTTGAATCCTTTTTAAGCTATATGGTCATTAGTGGCAACACAAAGTAAGAAATAAACATCATCCCAGCTAACATACCCGGATCTATCATAAGCAGCCCAATAGTCCTCCAGACATATAGATAGCAGGCTCTGACTAGAGAATTTGACAGCACGCTTAAAATCTAATTAATGAAAGTTATATAGAAATTCAAGAAACCTAGCTTGCAAATGTTTAATACCTCCGAAGCAAGAATGCCAGCAAATTTGAATCTAAGGGCTGTTGAGTTGAATTGCTATAGTGAGCAAACCCAGAAATAACATCATAACAAACAGTAAAAACAGTACAGAGGATAATCTCTGTCTCTGCTTGGATAGCGTGTTGTTTGGACCTTCTTTTCTCTTGAAAGAACTTGCAAGTAAATGCAGCATAAAAGTCAAGCCATCCAATTTCATCAGTTACTACCTATGATAACAAATTTAATATATCAGGATAATGCACATTTTGTTTCTCCAATCAACACGTATCAAACTAACCTCCATGAAGAGCTGATACTCTGATACGGAAGAAAATTTAGGATAAATGAAAAGGCTACCACATTCCAGGTAACTGCAGCGAAGACATGGAGCTCTTTCAATATTTGTATGTTAAGGTCAGAGTTGAAACATCTAAAAGCGATTTGAATGTAAAGGGATGCACCTGAGAAGGTCCTTAACCTGCTCATCAAGATCTTTTATACCCATTCCTGACAAGAATAGTCTTGTCTCTCTTCCCAGAAATGCAAAAAGTCCTAGAGTGGCCAAACTTTTTTCGTCAACCTGCTGACATTATGCAACTTAGGACCACTCTAAGATGAAAACCCATTATAGTTTTTTGAATGACGGATTCCAAATATATATACTCCAAAAAACAGAGAGAACCAAGAATTAGCAATAGTGCATTTACGTTCAAGAGCAAGAGATATCTTTACATTCAGGTATTCACAAGGAGAATCAGGACTAAGAATGATAGGTTATCACTTCTTTATCAACTACTTACTCCAAGTTAAACACCGGGAGATTTTTAATATTGGTTGCATGCTAACAAATGTTCTACAATTAATCTCCAAGAATCTTCAGTATAGACACCAGCAGATAGACTCACCTTGTCACTAAAAGTGTGCTTGTCTGAAATTACACTCTCTCTGTGGAATGCCTTAGAAAGTTTTCTCTGAACCAACCCAATCCAAAATTCCACATCTTCGATGTTCTCATTAGGCAGAATCCTTGTACCGAAATGTGAAAGGAAGTCCTCTTCAAATCCTGCCTCACTTGCTAGTTGATGCAACTTATCCACTGAAACGAGACTGTGTGAAAAGTTCAAGAGCTCTACTAACAAATCATCAGTCGGCACTGTGAATAAGGGACATGAAGTACGGCCCGAACCCAACATTCTCACGGCAGCACAGCAACTTATAGCCAGAATGATTCCTGCAACACCACTGAATAATTTGGCGTTTAAACATTTCTAATTGCAGGGTACAAAGTGAGTTACAATCGAAGAATGTATTTATTTATTTTTTTTCCCGGGTGGAGGGGGAAGGGGATGAGGTTGTAACCCACAACTACTTGTGAAGGGGTGGGAGCCCTTACCACTGAGCCACCCCCTCGCCTCAATTGTATTTATGGATAAGAAAAAAGAACAATATTTCAGTCATTAAATGGAAAGATGTAAAATAGTCAAGTATTCTAACAGCAAACCTTCCAGCATATTCCACAGACCACTTTTTGAATAATGGAATGAATAATCCTGCTATGCGTGGCAGTTCCACCGTCCTAAACCATTGTACTAATTTTGGGTTCCTCAAGTTCAACTGACTTTCTATGCACTCTCCGAGAGAGTTTGCCTTTGGGGACAAGCTGAAGCATATATATAGGATCAAAATGTTAGACCTAACAGAATCCATCAGTTGTATTGTAATCAGAGAAAAAACAATATAACACTTAAGAAAGGTTTAAACTTTAGTTTGGGTCCAACACAACATATCAATTTGATGGGGAAAGTACACAAGGTTAAAAAAGAATGGATGAGCATTGATACAGCTATAGCCTATAAGTCAGGAGGTAAACTGCTGAAATTGCCAAAATTCAAGCTAGTAGAGGGACTACAAACTAATTCTATAGTACATACATCTCATGAAGTGAAAGGGATTGTTGTACAATCTGTGAGAAAGGAATTTAAACCACAACTCCTAGCATTGAAGCACAGATACAGATAGCAGGTTTCCAACAAAGCCTCTAGTACTTACATCTCATGAACTAGAGAAGGATTGTTGCTTCGCTTATGAGAAAGAAATAATTCCACTTCAATTACAGCTTTCAACAAAGCATAAACTGCTACCTGTAAAGCCATAAAAAAGAATCATGCTTTCTTGCTTATTTTGTAAATTTTAATGACTGAACAAGGCTTTCCATCCCCAGTTAAACAGCGAAAATATGAGCTATGATTGTTGAAGGCACTACACAAACAAGCAATATGCACTCTGCACACCACCAATATTGGTAAATAAGAGTAACAGTTGCCATGGTTCATATGAGTTCTAGCTTCATATTCTTGGAAAATATGCCATCATACCAGTGTTTTTGTGTGGTTTGTACGCATACCCGATATGCTAAGTGCTTGTGCCACGCATGCACATCCACCCCATTCCATGCCATCGCAAGCTCTGGGCCACTTCTCGCCAATTCATGCGTCTGAATTGCAAGGGAAAAGCTCTGAGCAGATTCGTGCAACACCCATAGAAGACAATTGACCCGATTGAATTCCATTTTATGACTACGTACCGTAGGAACAAGAGGCTTATCTTCAGTAATAACTTGATCAGACTCAGCAGAGGAGTCTGTGGAAGATAGAGCTCCAGGAGGAAGCCATCTTGATGAAGAACTTTGGGATGAGAAAGTGTAACAGGTGAACAGAAATCCATGGGTAATTCCATTTCGTGCCAAGCCATACTGCTCATCCTCTCTTAAATTAAACTTTGATGGTTGAGTATAAGCTCTATGCTTTATTAGGTCACCAACAGATTCTCTGTGACAAAAAACAATTTTGAGATATAAACTTTTGATCATTCAAACCTTTAATTGCATTGCAAGCTGATCCAAAGTGAAACCAACCACCAAAGTGAAACAAAGTATACAATACGCTTCATTTAATTACATGTATGAGAGAGAGAGAGAGAGAGAGAGAGAGAGAGAGTGAAACCAACCACCAAAGTGAAACAAAGTATACAATACGCTTCAATTAGTTACATGTATGAGAGAGATAGAGAGAGAGAGAGCTTACATGAAGTAGAACTTGGAGAGTTGCAGACAGAAACGAGAGGCCATGAAAGGAAGGGTGAAAAGAGAAGAGAATGGTAGAGACAGAGGATTATATAGAGCGGCAGAGTATCCAGCGAAGCCATCGAGGTAGAGAGAGAGAGAGAGACATCGGAAAACGTTGAGCTACATACCTATCTCAAAGTCCTAGAATTTGGCTCCCGCCATCCATGGTTTTTTTGGACTGTTCACTTCATTTTTTTCTTTTGATGGGAAATCCGTCTCATGTTCACGATATAAGTCTATAAGGACTTGAACCCATTATCTGTAAGCTCCAACCTCAATTCTCATCCTAATCTTTCTTGTGGGTATTGTCTATTCACCTCCATTACACATACATCTCTCTCTCTCTCTCTCTCTCTCTCTCTCTCTCTCTCTCTCTCTCTCTCTCTCTCTCTGTAATTGCATATTAAAATCGGAGATCACAATGGGGCATATAGATATTTTGTAACACAGTCCACAAGATTCCAAGAAGAAATTCTTGTTGGACTTTGAAATGCAAATCCATCTGTTAGTGCAAACTTAACATTCCATTAGCTCCAGCGAAAATTATGCCGTCCCGGTTGTTTCAGAGATGTAGAAAAAAGGGGAAAAGGAGATGGGAAAAACAAAAAGAGGTGGTGGAGGAGGAGAAGGAGAAAAGAAATGATGACCACAACTCCTGACTGAACAGGTCATAGTCCATGGCTTGATCAGTATGAAATTAAGCAAATATAACAAGATAACAGAAAATTTCATGGCTTGTGTACTTTTGATCGAAGTTGAATACATATATGTCAAAACAAATTTGTATTGCGTGTACTCGTAGAATCTTTTGTGTTCTCGCACAAAAATTTAAGGCATTTCAAAAGCTAATTTCAAAATTATACAGTTCCATGGACAAACTGTTCTAATTCCAGTGACGATGTTTTCATTCATCTGTCCCCCCATCTTTATTTTTGCCGAAAGAAGCTTCCATGTCATATTCCTTCACAAATCCAAGTTCTGACATGTCTTGCTTTGCCATCAAGTTCCTGCAACACCCCATGAATGTACTGTTGAATAAGATCCAAATGTATTCTTCTACTAAAAAAAGTAAATCACACATACACATAATACGATTGATAGATTAAAAAAGAAGAAGAAAAAATACAAAGAAGTTGCCTAGACTAATCACATGGACACCACCTGACATATGATTGAAGTTCAAACAATGTTAAACCATGACAAAACAAAATGTAGGTCAATAAGCTTAACAATTGATGGTAAAGATGATGTCAATTTCCAGCACTAACATTAAAAAAGCTGGATGGTTTCAGGGACAAACAATACAATTAACAAGTAGCAATAACTAGGTAGAATCATTATCAATATTCAGCGCACATATTTAAAGAGCTATAAAAGGCTTTACATCAATACAAAAACCATAGTAACCATAGGCAAGTTCCAAATGCAAACTGAAAATGAAATACAGACTCAAAGTTCAAGAATGTGATGTATAATCAAGCCTATGCGTCACATTTTGACAAAGCACTATATTATCCTGCCATCAGGTCCAACCGTTCAACTACAGTGCTTGGGTTGATTACATAGCTAAAGTTGCAAGAGAGAGAGAACTGTATTGAGTACCATAAGTTATTAAAATTTTAAAACGAATAGTCCATAACATACAACCGCACAATGATGCAAACAACATTTCAGAAGAAACCATCAAACTCACTTTTCCATACGACATTTGAGGTATTTTTTGGACAAGTGTCTACATTTTTCAGATTTATGTCCAGAAGATTTGAGACAGCCGATGTATTCTTTCTTCTCCTGAAACAAGCCAACATAAAGTCTAAGAAAAGATAAAATTAGATTCCAAAATCCAGGAGCAGAACATCAAGGTTGTCTTTGAAGTCCGAAGGAATGGATAAAGAGACGACCTTTTCTGTAGCTTCTTACCCGGCCCTACATTCCTAACTTTAGAAAGGAATGAGATAAGGGCCGACTGCTCCTACCTTTCCTAACCCCAAGTTGTCCCATCAAAATAATTCAATTCCTAACAACTTTTCCTAAAACCATATTTTTCCCGGCTTCTTACTAATCCCTAATTCTCCAAACAACTTTCAGTAAGTTCTATATACCCGTTAACAAATGCAGTAATAATATCAGTTTTCTAGCCAAAACTACAAAGTGATTCTACCACGTCACATAAATGCATGTGGTCCAAGGGGAACACTCCTTTCTCGGGTGGTACCGGTCTTACTCCTCTATTTCCACCAAATGCTCCTCCTGCAAAAAATACCATAAAAATATTTGACAACAAAAAAGGTGAAAAAAGGAAGCAAGCTAATAGTGTGTTCTACATATGAGGAGACTCACTTTCCTTTCATCGATTTAACAAGTGTAGAATGAGATAGGCAACGGTAATGACACCATGAAGGCCAACCTGGCTCATAAAGTAGTATAACCTAATGAAAACAATCATAATTTCCTTCGGAATTCAAACAAATGGGTGGGATTCCACCAAGCTACATTGGGAAACCCAATTCAGTTTCATCCCAAGCAATCCTACTACCACACTGTGAATGATGTTCTGCCTTTCAATGGATCAAAGTCACCGGACCAAGTACACACCAAAAAAGTAGTAGCTAGATTGGAGTCTAATATACTCTTCTGGTTCTATCGGTTTTTCTCAAAAAAAGGTAAAAAAAAATACCAAAAAATTAAAAGGTAATGTTGACACACATCACTAGCAGACAAATTAAATGTCGAAACTCATCCTACAATGCTTATCCAGGGGGTATCCTTTGATCATTTTCAATGCCAATTGCGGAATGTAGCAAGATTGTAAGGTTAACAATGACACACTCTAATCCTCTGTTCTGTAAAGGATATTCCACACGAAACTGAAACTATAACACAAGAACAATGGTCACTGAAAACATAAAACATTAGGACATTTTTTTACAAATTTATGAGCTTTTTATCAGGTGATTCATAGCCCAATTATCTTCTGCAGCTATTGTTTTCCATTATATTAAGTTAGCGGAACTAATGATGTCGCAAAAATCCATTTTCATCACATTCACGAAAATACTATTGACAAGTACAGCATAACCCTAAACTCTAAACCCTAAACCAGAGAGAGAGAGAGAGAGAGGGACCTGCACTCATACGTGAAATTGGGATTTCCCCAAGAATTCCGCTGAGCTTTGTGCTGGTGTCTTGCACAGTGACGTCAACGTCTGAACCGCCGCGCTGAAATCGGGAAAGATCCAAATTATCTATTGGCCTAGTGGGCCGGTTTTGGGTCATTTTAAACAGCGACTGGTATTTAGGCTTTTATTAGCCTGTATGTAAGCACCTTAGTGGATCATATTTGATCCAAATCTAATTCGAACCCGAATCAAAGTAGTAATCAGTATTTTTTTATCGATTATTCGAATTCGAATTCAATATCATATGTTTTATATATTCAAATTTTAATATACATATATACGAACTAAAATATTTAAGTGAATATTTAAAATAAATCAATTAAAATTTAGATGTAATTTTTTAACACATAATTAAACTAAGTTATTCAGATCAAATTGAATATTGAATTGTTAATGAATTTGAATATAAAACACAAAAATCATATATGTCGGTTTCAAATATGTATTCGGAAATTGATTTTAGGAGTGAAAAGTATAGTTAATCCCCTCCCTCTACTGTTAAAACTTGCCGAAAGCTAAATAATGAAGTGGATTAAAGTAAATTTAGAGAGACAAAGTATAATTAATCTGCTCGTTTGTATTTTTGTTCGGAGCCACCTCGCTCTTCATGGTTTATGAATCCCGCCGCCTTCTTTAAACGGATTTGAGTTATTCAATGGGCCACCCGGTCCGACTTAAAAAACAAGGACTATCAACCTATAACCTATTGCAGGGGCTCTAGTTTTTTCAGGCTTGAAACTTACTGGACCTTGTTGTCCGTCTAAGTCCAAACAACAGGCCATGATGGTTATGTAGCCCAGCATACTCTGTAGTAAAGCTCTCTCCAGCTTTGAACCCTGGGCCTGGGCTCTAGAATTTTGCTAATGGTGGTGTCATATTTATTTTTTATTTTTTGGGTTATAGATGTTTAGGAATTAAAGAAATTATTAAATATCGAATTTAAGATATTTAGATTTGTAACCCATTTCTATCTCTACTGTGCTACTCCTTGGGGGTAGTGGTAGGCAGATTTGTTTATTGATGTAACTAGCGTAAGGTCCTTCAATGAAATAACATAAAAATGAAAAAAAATTACCTAGTGTTGAGTAATAATAATATTTTGACATAATTTATTAATTTAATCATTGAATTTATACCACTATCAATCTAATTATCAGTAATAAAATCATCCTATTCAAGAATTAAGAAATGAAGATAAATAAGGCAATTAAAGTGATTTCCATCCCCTTCCGTTTAGGAATAATTAACATCAATGATTAAAACAAAAACTTTTAATCTTGCAGTGAGATTGGACGGTTCTGATCACACTAATTAACTTGCACGTTATTGATTATGGCGGATTTTGAACAACACAAAGGACAAATAAAAATCCTCTCCCAGGCCAACGGATATGTCAAACGTGGACGAAGGAGGGCACTGGTGGATATAACATTACTGTTTTCTTTGGGTTTATGTAGGCATAAAGTGTCTGGGACCTACTGAACTACGATAACCAGGTAGGACCCACTTACCCCACTCCCTTTTCCCTCCTCATTGTTACTCCTGTTTCTCGCATCGTAAATTTCTTGTATGATGTGTACTGGTAGGTCAGGGGTCACTATGAACTCTGAAGGACCTCATGATATCTTCTCCCCCTCAACAGAAAGCCCCGTCTCTCTCTCTCTCTCTCTCTCTCTCTCCAACTGGCAATTTACGTTTATCTGTTTCTTCTCAAATTTCTTTCGAACAATATTATATAAAATTAAAAAATAAATTTAATAACTATAATTATTAATTTTATTGTGACTCCTAACATTTATAATAATCTACTATTTATTGTGATTATTCAATCTCTCTGGTCCGGTGACTTCTTACTTCTGTGCATGTGGCATTGATTTAAAACAACTGTCTCGCTTGAAACATTCTATACAAAATCATTCATCGCGTTTTATTCATTCAAAACGAGCTAGCTAGTCACTCCTTTGAGTTTTGTTTCACTTCCACCACCAACAATGGCTGAAAAGCCGAGTTCAGAAGCTGAAAGCAGTAGAACCAAGTCCTCATCTTCTTTACCAGCTCCATTTTCATCTGGGTCAACTAGGTATCTGCACGACTTGGTCTCAAAGCACTCGTCCAACGAACCAACAACACAGAACCTGGAACAGAAGAGACTTCCAAAGAGAACAAGAGATAGTAGTGATAGTGATTCTAATAAACACCACCCAGTTTACAGAGGAGTTCGTATGCGTAGTTGGGGCAAATGGGTGTCCGAAATTCGCCAACCTCGCAAGAAATCACGTATATGGCTTGGTACTTACGCTACTCCAGAAATGGCTGCCAGAGCCCACGATGTCGCCTCCTTGAGTATCAAAGGCAACTCGGCGGTCCTCAACTTCCCTGAACTCAGTAAGTCATTGCCTCGCCCGGCTTCACTTTCTCCACGTGACGTCCAAGCTGCAGCAGCTAAAGCCGCAGCAATGAAGGATTTACATGACTACTCTAATTCACTGAGTACTTCACCCTTGTCAACGAGCTCAACTGAGGAACTGGGTGAGATAACCGAGTTGCCGAGTTTAGAAGGGAGCGTTGACTCGTGGTGGGTGCCGGAAACTGATTTTTGTCGGTATTTATCTAGTCAGATTCCGGCTGAAAGTCTTCTTCCGACCAGCTTTGAGACACTGATATGGGATTGTTAGTGCTGGCCAACTGGGTGTGCTTAATTTGTACATATTTGTTTGCCATTTGCTGTCTATATTCATGTGATGTGATATAACAATATACAAGCATAATAATACATTGGTGAGCACTTTTTTTCCTGTTCCCATGCATATATAATTGCAACTTGTTATTCTGCATTTTAGGGTCCTGGCTGTTAGAATCTCAAACCCAGAAATCAGAGTATTTATTTCCAACTTTGTATAGTAAGCTCTAATTTTTTTTCTGTGCATAATCAATGTGAGATGACTTTTGCAGCCCAAGACTCACGGTGTAAAATCATTGCTTTATGTTCTATTTTCAAAAGCAAGAAAAAAAAACTTTAAATTTGTAAAGAAAGACTAACTTGGGGTCCCGAGTGCATATGAGCAATTAATTGCCCGATAAAAGTCTTAATCTCAACTATATTATAGTTCACTTATTAAAGGACAAAGGACAATTTTTATCCATCCCCCTTCCAGTTAAAAATGGTTAGCATTCCCACTTTGATTTTTCCTCAAAAAAATTAGAATTGAAATCCTGTCTCAGACACAACATATCATCTATAACTACACGAATAATCTAGGTTTGAGTTTACCCTTTTCATTGTACATCAAAAAATAGAAGAAAAAATGAATTTTTTTTTTAGATTTACGGAAAGAATATGTAAAAATCTCGATCTAATTCGTGTTCTAACTTATAAAAGTCTCGGTCTTTGTTTAAAGAAAAACCACATGATTGTCTTAACTAATTTCTTTGTTATTCATCCTCTCAAGAATTAGATTGTTTTTGAATTCTTACTGATTTGACCATTAATCTTTCAATGATTTGAAGAGATACAATGGGTCTAGTGGGCAATAATTATGCGGATTAGCTTTCTATTTGTAGCCACGTTTTTCCATTGTCTTTGCTTTTTGCACTTCTTTTCTGATGATATAAATGGCCACTCCTAATCGCATTGTCCCCATCCTCACCCCACTCCACCCCCCACCCCACCCCNTGTGAACAAAGTGATGATAGGGACATTGGACAATAAAAGAGACTTCTAGTGATAGAATTGATTTCAATCTCATTTAGGGGCTCTTCATAGAAGGCTTATTGAAGAATGAGAATGAGGATACATAATCATAATTAGGTTACAAGGGAGATGGGTACTGAAACTGTGAAAGCAGCCTTTTGTCCATGTTATGCCCTTGAATTTTGTGGAACGGAACATAGGTTGCTACTTATCATTTGGCCTCCAGCTCATGCTACGACTTAAAAGTTGATGCTTTCATGTATGTGCAGATATGGCATGGTCAATTGTGTTTGAAAGTATCCTTTACATTGAATTAAATGTGGCGAGCTTTCTTTGGTCCCCCACCCCCAAAAGAAAAAAAAAAACCACCCCTCTCAGCAAGTTGCCCTTTTCTAGTCAACAACGAATATTGAATGCCAACCAATTTATCCCAATTTGGACGCCATCATCACAATTACATATTCTACGTGAATATATAATCGTTAGATGCTTTTTAAAATACCTTGGGATGGATAATCATGGATTGAGCTGTCGTTTAAAGACGAGATTTGTATGTGAATAGAAAAAAAAAATTATAACTTTAAAGACTTGAATTTCATACTTACAAATCGTAGAAATTTTCATCTCGATCGTTTTCCTTACCTAAATGATTAGCACAGTTTTGTAGAGACCCTGAGATATTTTCAAGTTTCAATCACCAGTTGTTCTCCAATGTGCTGGAACTATATACCTATGGATTTTAGCTTTGGGGGGGACAGTGAAGAATTTAGTGGTAGTGGAAAGTGACATTTTTCTTAGTATTCATGTTGGCTTTTCATGAGGGCCTTGTGGACCTCTTGTGATTAAACGATGCTGCCAAGTTAGGCTGCCAAATACCTTGTGAGTAATGCTATATAATCTAAATTTATAATTCAAATTTACATTTTAAATAAAAGAGAATCATTGAATCAGTACGTCTATTTTAAAAAGTTGATAGGATTTACTTATCTAATAGTCCCCCTTCATTTAGAATATAAATTTGAATTGCAAATTTGGTTTATATAGTATTTCTCTTATCTTCCTACTTATTATCTATAATTAATTATTGGACTGATTAAATGTTGAAACGACCAAATTAGTACGTATTTTTCACACATAGCAATCACATTGACTAATGACCTACGACGACTTTAATAGTTAATGCCCCAATGGTGCTTTCTTTTCAACTATTCTGTGTAGGTGATACATTTTCTTCCAGTTGCAAGTATCTCGAATTTAGAAAAAAATTTGAAGTCAGGTTACGAGAGATTTATTTCTCACGAATATCCTAATTCTGGTATGGATAACTTGTCTTTAATCGAACCAGAGAAAGGAGTAGTAAAAGTGCACATAAACTGGTACGAGCATTCCTAACAGTTAAACAAAAAAAAATCTCTAATCTTATGACAAAGTTTTTTCTTCCTTCACACCTTCATTTCAAATTCTCTCATTTTTTTTTTTTTGTGCCATAGATAAATAGCCAACAAACGTTTCACTCATTGTCATTGTTGTTTTTCTTTTGCGACGTCAAGGAACACCAATAATATTGTGCCTGTAAATAAGTTTACAGGGTATACGAGAGCAGTGTTTATGAGGTAGGTATACGTTAAGGGACTCCTCCAATAATATTGGTTGTATAGGTTTTGCTGTGGCAACTAGAACCTGTAGCCCTGGCCAACACGTAATCTGAGAGTGGTAGGCAGCCTTGAACGTCGCCATTCTGGATACACCCACATGGCCGTGGGCTTCAAAATGGGCAGATGAGTCTTTATTTCTGTGGCAGAGACAAAAATATAGGTGATGTTGCAGATTTTAGCCATGGTTCATAATGGATAATTTGGTGGCTAGCTACTTGCCATTTTTACCCTGCATATTTACCCGATGGTGTGAACAAAATACCTTAAGTCTTATACAGTCTGACTTTCTCATCGTTCTAATGATTTGCATTGATTAGGCTATCAAAAATCATTGGTTGCTAGTATATAAATTGCAAATGTGAGCATCTCTCTCTCTCTCTCTCTCTCTCTCTGGCTATATACATATAGCCAGAGAGAGAATACACACGCATATGGCAATGATTAAATTCTAACACCAGGAAAAGCAATAATGATTATTCATTGATTCATGGGCTAACACAAACAACTCAATTTTCATGAATCATGAGAGATAACTATAATAACGTTAACTAGTCACTCAAAATGGATATGAGTATTTGAAATGTATATTGAGTATTGGATCACCGGACTCCTAACAACCTAACCCACATAAGTAACTAGGGTTAGGTTGGGATGAATTCCAAATTCGGGCTTTTTAAGTTTGATTCTCACTAATGACTCAATAGTTGATTAGCCTGTGATCATCTGTTAAAATGGGTTTAATGTGGCATTGTCTTGAAAAAGTTATAGGTTATTTAAAAAAAAAACGTATTACTAAAGACCAGTCCTAACTTTTGAAGTGTTAAAACGCACCAAACAAATAATAGAGAGGATATTATGAGTGAAAATCAAATCCTAGGGCTGATTGGTGGATATTCCTGTTGGATTTCTTTGTCTTCTCTATTTTCTTTTCAAGTTGCATTGCTCTACCATGTTTTCATCTCTTGTTAGTTGTACTAGCACAAAGTGATAACATAACGAGCTGGCTTTCACTATTAATTATGACCCATAAGGCCTTAATTAACCGTACATTATACTTATAATTTGCCAAGTAGCTAGAAATCGGATGATGACAGATTTTGATCGTAAGGTATTTTCATCGTAACTAGGATGTCACAAACTTGAGCCAAGATAATTTTTATATGTATGACAATATATTCGGATATATCTTATCCTCTCAAGACTTTGTATTGACGAGAACTCATACTAGGCTGTCCTCTTTTTCTTTTTCGTGTGTACAAAAAGTAAGTTTACTCATTTTTCTCTTATTAGTAGAAGAGAAGGCTTGCCTAATACCTACCCTTTTAAGTAATTAATTTAAAAGTTTGTTTGAGGGACATCAATTAATTTGGTAAGACGTAATGATCATGACCAAGAAAGTAATGTGAAATCTTAATTTCTTGCCGGTTGGGTTTATCCTTCGTTAATTAGCATTGTTATGTGTGGCTTATGGCAAACCACAACTATTTGATTGGGAAATAAAGAAGAGTTTTCTTGTCCAACTGTACTCAACTAGGAACTAGTCCCACCTCAAGAAAATGTAATTTTGATCGACTAATGTTATTTAGACTTAAAATTTTGACATAATTTATCGATTTGATGATGTGGCTTAATTAAAATCATTGGATTAACACCAAATTTGAATGTTTAATGATATTTACAATCAATCTAAATGTTATAATGAGTTAGATTAACAGATTAAGTCCCAATAGCAGCATTCATTTTCATCAAGATACACCATTAAAATGATTAGCAAACAGCTTTGTGGATTTTGGTTCTGTTCAAAACTCAAATATCGATTTAAATAATTTCATGATTAGACTCCATATTGAGTATCTATTTAAGGATAGAAAATCGTAAACAAACAATTCTAAATAAGTACAAAGTGTTGTTATAATAATTTTTGCAAACGTGGATGTTTCATTAGAAACCAAATATAAGTGTCCCATTTTTGATAAAATAATTATTATTTAATAACAAAATGGCACCAAGAGCAATGTCAATGTACATAGTCACTCCACTCGCTTTAGAATAAAAGGTTAGTGGGTGAGCTTCAAAAGAAAAGTGATTATACACTAGAAGAAGATAGCAATTTCGTAGTGGTTTCTTCTCATGCATGATTGTTTGAACGACTATGAATATGATATGATTTGTGAATATATTAATGTACAACAAAAGTTTGTTTAGTATCTTTGAAGATATTCCTCTTGGATCATACTTTACCTCTACCAACAAATTAGATGTGTAAAAGGGTAGATGTTCTAATGCTCCATTCACTCTCCCCCACAAAACAGACAATTTTTTATTTTTTTTTAAGAAAAAGGACCAAGGAAAAACATTTTTTTTTTTTTTTGCCTTTTTTCTCCTGAAATTTTCCTTCTGGTGTATTAATATCTATGGCTTTTTGGGTCATTCTCATTCAGTATCTTACAAAAAAAGAACTGGTTATGTACTCTGTTTTGAGTAATGTCACTTTGCAGAAAGATGCTTCGATTTTTAATTTGTATCATCAAACATTAAAAATCTCAATTTACATACTCAATGTTATGAATTAGTAACAGTATAAACTTTGCCCAAACTACCATTCAATTTTTCGTCATAAATTGAATCAAATAAATTACAAATGCTTCAATCATAGACTTATCTATAAATTCACGAACTATTGACGTCTCATGTGAATTACACGTTATAGACTTCGTCACTATTGGATTAAAGAAACTTTATTTTTGATGCATAAAATGATATCAAATTAATCACAGACAAAGCTCTACAACAATGAACACACCTCATCTTCATACTTGAAACACTTATAACTCATATATTTTAATTTATGACAGAAAATTAAACGATATTCTAACTAAGGTCCACATTATCACCAATTCATAACATTGAAAGCACAAACTAAAATTTTTAATGTTTAAAGGTACAAATTAAACATCAAAATATCTTTCGAGATACAAAGTAAGATTAATCCGTTTTGAGCCATAGATGAATTGCAATCAAATGCAGCTGATCCTTCTCTGTATGGAGCGTTGTTATACAGTTATAGTATCAAAATTTGTTTAAGCTTAGGCTGCTCTTATGATCTACCACCTACCGGTAGGCATTGGTTCAACTTTGATAGCAGAGAATAAAAGAGACTACTAGGCAGTGTACCAACACATCCTTAATTACACTAAAAACGTACAAAAAGTCAAAATCCAGAGCCCAATTCAACCTCAACTCAAACTACATTGCCAGAATTTGATCATTTCTATCATGTTCAACAGTGACCAAAAAAATAAAAGGTAAAAAATTCAAAGATCTCTCATCGAGCAACTCAGGCAATGAGCATTCTCTAAACAAGTATTGCAGTTGAAAAGACTCGAGCCTTTGTTCTCACAAGGATACCATCTCTAGTCCCTTTAGAAAGATAGAGTAGAACCAATCATGGTATACATTTATTCAAGCCGCAAGCCTAAAGGCTATAGCAACTCAGTACCCAAAACCTGATGACAAACAATCATACACAATTGAGTCATATAAATCTCAGTATTTTGCTGTTCAAATTAATTAGGATAGAAAATTTAAGGCATAGTCAATAGCAAAAACCTGAATTATCCATGGGGTTCCCAGCAGCCATAGTTTCGGGCTCCTTAATTTCAACCACCACGGCATCTGATGTAAGGAAGGTCTTTGCAACTGAAGCAGCATGCTCCAAGCAACATCTTACCACCTGGTTGCACATATTACAGTGTTCATTAAGCATTACATAGGATGCTAAAACTGGGAAAAAAATTACTTCAAGCCGGCCTGACTTGTTCCATTTAATTTCATTAAGAATACTACATTCCAGCACATAATTCAAACGGAAGATTCAGAATCAGAGACAAATATCACAACATTAAGAAGAAGGAAGCAAGTAATTATACAACCATCTTCTAGCAATAACTTTAGAATATAAGAGGTACAAAAACAATACCGAATTTAAAATATGGATGCTAATGCAGATATGAAAAGAAAAGGCATATCTAATAATTGTAAAATTTAGATATTTCTGATCAAAATTAATTATCTGAAATGTTCACAATACTATCAATTGTTGATCAGTGGGACTTCCCATTGAACGAGTATACGTAAATGCGTGATGCTTATTCGTTGATAAGCCACAAAGCCAATCCAAACCTAAAACTGATGCGTTATCTGAGTTTTTGCAAACTGCATGAGACAGTGAAGAAACTTGCCTTTGTGGGATCAATTATACCAGCAGCCATTAGGTCCTCATATCCTCCTGTTGCAGCATTGTACCCATACTTGGCGTTGTCACTAGTCAGCACCTAAAGAAAAGAAGTAGCATCAGTCAAACTATCTTAATCAATTGCATACCTTGGATTCATCTTAAACAAGCACATACCTTCTCAATCACAACACTTCCATTAACACCGGCATTCTTGGCAATTAGCTTCATTGGGTAGCGCAATGCCCGCTTAACAATATCAGCTCCCACCTGCAAACCATTCACATTAAAGTATATCAAACAGTTACAATGCAAGTACCTCTATTCCTCTTTTTAAATAATATTATTTTTTATAAAAAACGTGAATTATATGTGAAATTAAATTAAATAATAAATTAAATGTAAATAATTAATTTGTATTTTAATTATTATTAAATTTAAGTAACAAATTTGTAATTTATTTAGATATATCTCTTTAATCCATTTAGGCATTTGTAAATCTAATTATATAATCAAATTATTAATTTTAATTCACTTATAATATTACTAGTCATTACCCGTGCCTGAAGGCACTCTTAATACAAAAAATTTGCCAAGCAAATGGGGCATCCAGGAATTTTTTAAATTAAAGAAGTTCATGCATTGAAATGAAAAAAATTATATTATACTAATACGATTTGAAAATCCGTATAAACTTAAATTAACACCATTACAAAATTATCCAGTCATATAATTCTTCATAGCGACTCTTCTTTCCAATGAGTTTTCATTTTTTCAGCCTCTTACTAAATAATGAATAGATTTTCTAGTTCATATTGAATTACAAATCAAATTTTTAAAAAATAGAAAAAATACCCAACTCAACAATATTGTCCAGGGAATCTATTGTAGTTGCAAAGACAACTGATTTAAATTATCTACTACTATGATTCTTGGATGCTACCGAAATATTCTCACGCCACAATTAAACCAAAACAACAAAATAAAAATTTCACTACTTAAAAAAAAATTGATTTAACTGAACTTTTTATCTTTTCGATATCTATTTTAAGCTATTCAAGTATTTAAAAAATATGAACATTAGCAAGGGAAAAGCGATGCAAATAAGAAAAAAAAATTGATAGTTGGTTTAGAATACTGGTTTTTTTTTTTTGCATAATTTTTTAATTTTTTTTGGTGCAATTGATATCACTTGTTATTTTTTAATTAGTGATTAACTTGATTTTGAATTTTTTTATTTTTTTGGTGCAATTTAACACTTGATATTTTTTATTAGTGATTAGCTTGACTTTTAATTTTTTTTTTATTTTTTTGGTATAATTGGTAACACTTGTTACTTTTTATTGGTGATTAGCTTGACTTTTAATTTTTTTTTATTGGTAATTAGTTTGGCTTTTAAATATCTACAACCTGAGAATTTTTTTTAATATTTAAATATTTTTTTATCTATAAAATCATACAATGTTTTGAGCAAATACGGCCAATTAGGATCGTCAAGACAAACAAATAATAATAAAAGAGAAAGTGTGAGATAACATTGTTTGTCTTAACGATCCTAATTTAACTTTCATTCTATCACACACACACACATATATATAGAGAGAGAGAGTATAAGAGATGGGAGGAGAGTGTGTTTAAAATGTCTGTCTGTGAAGGAGAGGGAGAAAGTTATATACGTGTGAGAGTTGGTTGTATAAGATAAAGAGAGAAAAAAAGTTATATTAGAGATGGGAGTGTTAGAGTTTTAAAAGAAATGAAAGTCTAATTAGATTCGTCGGATCAATAATCCTCCAACGATCTAAGCCGCAAAAATCTCAAAACAAATAAATCTAGCTATTTTATTATATAGATTTTAAATTACACGTTTAAACGGCTTATTATATAGATTGAATTATATATATAGATATAGATATCGGTATAGATATATATAGATAAATATATAAGACAACATATGTTAATAAACGTATATTTTATTAGAGATAATCACTTTTATTAGAGTTTTAATAGATATTAAAATATATATATCTGTCTAAGCCAATCTCTTTAATGGGGATGAGGAGATATAAAAAGAATGAATGAATGTGGTAGAATCCTGTAGGAATGTAAATATCTCTCCAATAGTTTAAAAGGGGATAAGGAGAGATAAAAAGAATGTAGTAGAATCCTGTAGGAATGTAGGTTAATTATAACCGTCGGATCAATAATACTAAATCAATATGAGCCTCGAAAAGTTCAAAACAAACCAAGCTAGCTATTTTATTATATAGATTATAATTATATTATTATATATTACAAAATAAAATATAACATATATTTGATCGTAAAATTCAATCTAATAACTACATGTGTATAATAGAGAACTTTACTTCTTCATACAAATATAATAATTGTATATATATGTACTACTAATAAACAAGTTCAAAAGAATGTAAAGTCCTTATAAAAGAGTTCAAAATAAGTTGAAAGTTGATATGTATAAAAAATAAAAATTAAATGAAAGTATATAGGTGGGTATAATTGACTTTATTATAATAATTAGGGATAAAATAGAAAATAAAATTTTTTTCACAGATTCTGACATTTATAAATAGTATAAATAATTGTAAAGGACATCAACAACTACGCATGCATCACCTTCTGCTCATCATTATCAAGAGTATCTTTAATGGCATCAACTTTTGCTGCAAGCCGCAATAGAGTACACCCACCACCCACCACAATGCCTTCCTCAACAGCTGCCTGTTCATACATGCATATGAACATTTACATGAGGATTAGTTAACTCTTTAATGAACAGTAAACCAAGATAAGGCAACCAATTCATTAGGATCCCTAAATCAAGCAACAAGTCCCTTTAAACGATACCTTTGTGGCATTAAGTGCATCCTCCACTCTCAATTTTTTTTCCTTAAGTTCTGTTTCTGTCTGTGCCCCAACCTGAATATAAATCACCAAACTTCAGATAGGGAAAGAATGGTAGTCACAAATATGTATTTGCTCAAAAATAGTAATATCCTGGAAGGAAAAGTACTCAAGGGATCACCTGAATAACAGCAACACCACCTGAGAGTTTTGCAATTCTTTCATTAAGCTTCTCTTTTTCATAGTCTTGCTCAGCTGCCTGCATGACAGTACTACATTATAAATCACATCACCGCAGACAAGATAAAGTAACCTAAAGAAAATGGATATGCAAGAGGGAAAAAAGATACAAAAATTCACCTCAACAAGGTTTTTGATCTGTGCAACCCGTTTGTTTACTGCTTCCTGGGTGCTGCCATCACCAACAATTGTTGTTGTATCCTTGGTGACCACCACTTTTGCAGCATGACCCAAAACCTCATTTCCAGCCTTGTCAAGAGATAACCCAACCTCATCTCTTATCACAGTTCCTGGAAACATAGTGTACGAATAAAAATTTAGAGAGTTAGCAATACACTTGATACATAGCATGAACCTATCATCAGCATGTGACAGCCTGACCTCCAGTAAGGATAGCAATATCATCTAGATATTGGCTCTTGCGCTCTCCAAATCCAGGGGCTTTGAGTGCGGCAATCTTTAATGCCCCTCTAAGCTTGTTCACAACAAGAGTAGCAAGAGCTTCCTGCTCAATGTCTTCTGCAACTATTAACACTGGGTACCCTCCCTTAATTGCATCTTCCAATACATTAATTAAATCCCTTGCAGTTGTTATCTTTTTGTCAACCAGAAGCAGCTGCATAGATGACATCCAACAGTCAGTGAATGACAGACTAAAAGCTTCATAGTCAGCAAATCAAGGTAAAAGACCAACAAAAAGTCTCGGGATGATATAAAAGAAACTTGAAAGCATTCGAGGCTTAACCACAAACCTTGCAATTCTCATACTCAACAGCCATTTTCTCGCTGTCAGTGACAAAGTAAGGAGAAATATAGCCACGGTCAAATTGCATGCCTTCCACAACATAAAGACTGTTCTCGGAACTCCTGCCTTCTTCAAGAGTCACCACACCTTTCCTCCCCACTTTACTCATGGCTTCAGCTATCATATTTCCCACTTCATAGTTGTTTCCTGCACTAACTGCAGCGACATCTGCTAGTTCACTGTCTTCAACCTGATAATCCAGATTCATTGTGAGAATAGCAAAACTTTCTTTTCGGTCAGAACCTTAACACTTTCTTATCCAAAATGTACAATTATAAATGCCTAGTGTTCAAGGTAATACTATAGATACACTTTTCATCATGGTCACTATAGCTACAGACAAATCAGAAATATTTACTGTAAAAGTAAATGTATAAAGTTGAAAAAGCCTCTGATCAATCTTACCTCTTTCGACATTAACTTAAGCTCAGCCACCAGGGATTTAGTTGTTTTCTCAATACCCCGTGTAATCTGAATAGGATTCGCACCAGCCGCCACCACCTGAATGAATCGGAGCTTAGAAACACTGCTCCAGCCATTTATGGCAACATACTTACACAAATAGTACCAAAAGCTAAGGCAGCCAATAGTTATCACTAACCTTAACACCTTCAGTAATCAATCCTTGTGCCAGAACTACAGATGTAGTCGTCCCATCTCCAGCCAAATCATTGGTCTTAGAAGCAGCTTGTCTCACCAACTTAGCACCAATATTCTCAACAGGGTCCTCCAATTCAACCTATGAAAACATCAAGATATAACTTAAATCTCTTCCACCAAAAGATGATGTGGAAATTTAAGATACCATATTCAAGACAAACTAAAGCATTCCACATATTTGACTTAAAAATCAAGGGAAAAATTATTCAAGAAGTGGGAACCTGGGCTTTTGTGGTTTATTTTTCTTTGGTTACTTTTTTGTTTTGGGGGTGGGGAGAGAAGAGGGATGGAGGGGATGTAGTACAATGGAGAAAACAACAAAAACCTATATTTCCTTTGATATTTCAAAGGACTATATTACACTCATAGAGTGATCATTGCTCACTGGAAGTATACCTCTTTAGCTACAGTTACACCATCATTAACAATTTTAGGGGAGCCATACTTGCTCTCTAAAACCACATTCCTTCCTTTTGGACCAAGAGTAACCCCCACTAGATCTGCAAGCTTGTTAACACCGGCCTGGAGGAGAGAAACAAAAAGACAACCCACAGACAAAGAAAAGAGAGAAATCAGTCCAACAATCCCAAAAGTAAACAAATTGACAAATTTTACTAGTAAAACCCACCTGCAGCTTCTTAATAGCAGAACCATCTTTGTTGAAATGCAATTCTTTGGCCATTGCCCTGACTTTAGGAGAATATCTTTTTTGCAAAACATTTCCTTTTCTATCTCTGAAAGAACTTATAGATATTGAAGCAAATGATGCCAAATTGTCTGCAGAATTTGTACATTTTTTATCCAGAGAAAGGCCACATGGAGACACGAAAATAGAAGAGATGGTGGTGAGGGTTGATGCCATTTGCTACCAACAACCTAAAACATTAAATACCATAGAGTCATAAAAAGATCAAATGAACAATACCCAACACTTAAGAAACAAAAACATTTGCAAACCCAAAAAAATATTGATGGCATTTTGCTACCACTTCTCAGGTAAGTAGGCTTAGAGTTTTCGGGCTAAACTTGAGCTTGGTCTCTCCCCCCCCCCCCCCCCCCCCCCAAAAAAAAAAAAAAACCAACCGAACTTGGAGATTGTAGTGCTTTCTATACTCAACTTTATGATCAATTGCCCTCAATTTTTATTGAGAATTTCAATATTAACACAAATATCTACATAAGATCTGTTCGCATGCATTAAAACCATAGATACTAAGAGAGAATGCTGAAAATAGAATCAATAATTCTACAATTGTCTTAACAAAAATAAAGATTACAATTTTGTGTTGATAAAGCTGCAATCTTTTAGAAGTGCCCCAATGATTGGCCTACAATACAACGCCTATATATGAAACAATTGATGAGAAATAGTCGATAAACACTATTATCTAGCTTATTACTCAAACAACAACCGAAAAATTTACTCTCATCTCCCCCCTTTTTCTCACCCCCACGGACAAAACAAAAGAACTGTAATTTTCATTGCATCAGTGTAAAATTGTTGTCCAGAATAATAGAACCTAACCTGATTCACAAACAATACTCAAACATTCAGACGTCACATACCCACACACACGCGAGCACACACAGGCACACACACAACTCTGCTTTTGGGGGAAAAGGAATAGCGACAAGTAAGAAGTGTGTAAAGATTTGAACTCTAAGAACAATGTAGTTACCAGGTAATTGCTAGAACCTCAAACAGTGGCGAAGCGCCTGAAAACAGCTAGTAGAGCGAAGGAGACAATGAAACGTAACTAGGGTTTTAGAAGATAAGGCTTTGGAAACTCCGGTGATTGGGAAGCGTCTAGAACTTCTTCTACTTATAGTCCCGCGGTTTACCGAGAAAAAAAAATAAAATGGAAAAAAAGCTGGACGGGTGAAATACTGTCTGTGTTGACAGCCTAGGGTTGTTTCCGTGTTACCTGTCTTCTCTCAAGTTTTATTGGCTAATCGAATCGAGGATATAAACCACCTTTATAAAACGAACAATGCTTTAACCGAAGGGGTGATAATCAAATAGAGTTTTATGTGTACGAATCGGATTTATTAAGTTTATTTTTTAAAATAAAATTAAAAAATTATTAAAGTCCAATTTTTTTTAAAAAAAGTCTAGTCTAAAACAAGTGAAATTCGAGTAAAATCCAAGCAACCTGAATATTTTATATATAAATGAATATTTTATATATAAATGAGTTAAACTTTTTTGACGCATTTTTTAAACAAATTTAAAAAAAAAAATTAAGCCTAACCAAGTTTGAGTAACCCAACTTAATTATCAGTCCTACCCGAGGAATAGCTCAAGTGGGTAATAAAGACAAATTGTAAATCTAGACGTCTTGATTTCGAATCTTGACAACCCCTTATAGTCATATCATAAGAGATTTATTCCTTATAAATACCCTAATTTTTGTATAGATAGTCTGTCTTTGATCGGACTGAAGAGAGATTAGTCGAAGTGTGTAAGTTAATCTTAATACCCAAGACTGTTGAATCCAAAAAAAAAAAAAATTAAAAATTGAGCAATGCTTTTGAAACGTAATTTGCTAACATAATTTACCATGATCTTTGATTGACTATGGACCTATCAAACATTGAGACTTGATGTTAATCCAACCTTTATAATGCAATTACATCATTAGGTTAAATTTTTAGATTTAAATAACATTACTCTTATAAAATTGAGACAAAATTTAATTCAGACGTTTTAAGTTTGAAATTTTACAAATCCATTGGAGTCTGAGAGATTTATGTCACATAATTTCTCTAATTCCAAAGTAGATGGTCTATCTTTGACCTAACCAGATAGAAGATTTACTCTAATCAAAGTGCACATAAGTTGACTCCAACACCCCTGACTACGATACTGAACAAAAAATTGGACTTAATTTAGGGAGATGACACAAGACCTAATTTTTTTTTTCCCATTTCGTTTGTTTTTTTTTCCACCAAGGTTCTTTGTAGATCCAATTCATCAAATATTATTCAATTTTTTTCATTCACGTCTAATTTATGAGCAATTTTTTTTTTCTTTGGGGAAGGTAATTTTTGAGCAATGTCATAGGGTCCTGCAAGTTTTAGAATCATTTGGTTTTAGAATGGATAAACGAAAGAGAAAAGAGAAAACAACTAAATTGGCCTATTTCCTGGAACAAAATTTAATAATACCAATCATATGAACTTCAAGTCCTAACACAAATAAATAACAATTGTTCAACTGACAATCATGAAGAATTCAATACAAATCCTCAAACACTAAAGACTCTTATAGCAGAACCTGAAACAAACTATGCCTACTTACTAGTACCAGCAGAATATGGCACCACGGTGAACATAAAGCTATGGTGCACCCAATACCAATGTCACAACATTGACACTAAGAGCCATTAAAACTGAAACCAATGTCACTGAAACTGATACTCCTGAACTTGACTGTGGCGATGGGGCAGGAGACACAGCCCAGTAAGGTTGAGGAGGACTGGCAATGGACGGAGGAGACTGTGAAATGGGGTGCAGTGTCATGACCTCAACAACTAACCTCTGGCCGTTCTTGCAATGATCAGGATCCCCACTTATGAAGTAGATAGGGCCAGGCGTGACGAGATTGATGACAGTATTCCCATCGTTAGAGACAGAAATGGGATTGCTTGTGTTGCAGTGATAGTATCCCCATTTATCCACCACAAGAACTGAATCATTCTTATACTCGAATCCTGTATGATGGTACAAATTCATTAACTTCGAGAAACACTAGTTTCAATGCCTCTTAGTTCATTGCAACTCAATTCCCATAGTTCAGATACCAAGCTGCAACACATTTTTCTTTTAATTTTTTTTTGTGAGAACAATCTGGCTGCAAAACATATATACAAGAAACAATTTCTACTGATTTTTTACTACATTAACATTTCGTTGTAACTCCTCATATAAATCACCAAACTTTTTGTTAACTCTGTGCTTCAATCTTGCTACATAATAACAGATAATCTTGTATGGACAAGAACAATTTGTGATACAAACATTAATTATAGTATTCCTTGAAAACAACCTTTTCGTACATGTAGGTAAAATTGCATTTATCAAATCTTTCTCGGACCATGCTATAGTGCAATCATTAATGGACACTAGACTGTAATTATAATGGAAAATAAGTAATTCTTCTATATAACAAAAGCAAAATAATTTCTTGACAAGCTAGGGCAAATTTAAAATTACCCTCAAAAAGTTCAAAATATAATCAGATCAACAACATATGTATGTATAGATTGTAGAGATCAAATAAACTCAGAAACTTGGGATCAAATATGCCAAGAACTAAAATATAGTATACCACTACGCCTCTTAATGAAAAGAACAACATATTCTCAAACTTACGAAGTGAATCTCCGACGCGGAATCTCCGATTTGCAGCCCACTGATTGTACAGTTCAGTCTCATTCACGTAGGGCTGACGCCAACCCACATAATTGCCGACTTTAAATTCCTTAGGACCTCTCACAGGCTCGCTTGTGGAGGCTAGGATCAGTGGTAAAACAGTGCAAAAGAGAGCTAAGACTAAGAGAGAAGCCATGTTTGAGTTCTTCATTTTCTCTACAGAAACTGTAGTGGAAGGCCAGGTAGTGGCTATGAGAACTCTGGTGATGTTATGGGGGGGGCTATATGGAACCTCTGGTGAGAAGGTTATGGAGGAATTGGAAGGGGGAACTTGAATATTTGAAGCGTAACAGGTTATGGAAGTGGTGGACGTAGCGGTTATATTTGGCAGTTATGAACCTGAAACGAAGGGTCGTGCTTGACGGTTACATTTAGGATTCAAAGTGGTGTTCTCTTTGAACTTCGTAGAATTTGACTAGGTCAGTGGAACTTTGGAAGGCCANCATCGTTAGAGACAGAAATGGGATTGCTTGTGTTGCAGTGATAGTATCCCCATTTATCCACCACAAGAACTGAATCATTCTTATACTCGAATCCTGTATGATGGTACAAATTCATTAACTTCGAGAAACACTAGTTTCAATGCCTCTTAGTTCATTGCAACTCAATTCCCATAGTTCAGATACCAAGCTGCAACACATTTTTCTTTTAATTTTTTTTTGTGAGAACAATCTGGCTGCAAAACATATATACAAGAAACAATTTCTACTGATTTTTTACTACATTAACATTTCGTTGTAACTCCTCATATAAATCACCAAACTTTTTGTTAACTCTGTGCTTCAATCTTGCTACATAATAACAGATAATCTTGTATGGACAAGAACAATTTGTGATACAAACATTAATTATAGTATTCCTTGAAAACAACCTTTTCGTACATGTAGGTAAAATTGCATTTATCAAATCTTTCTCGGACCATGCTATAGTGCAATCATTAATGGACACTAGACTGTAATTATAATGGAAAATAAGTAATTCTTCTATATAACAAAAGCAAAATAATTTCTTGACAAGCTAGGGCAAATTTAAAATTACCCTCAAAAAGTTCAAAATATAATCAGATCAACAACATATGTATGTATAGATTGTAGAGATCAAATAAACTCAGAAACTTGGGATCAAATATGCCAAGAACTAAAATATAGTATACCACTACGCCTCTTAATGAAAAGAACAACATATTCTCAAACTTACGAAGTGAATCTCCGACGCGGAATCTCCGATTTGCAGCCCACTGATTGTACAGTTCAGTCTCATTCACGTAGGGCTGACGCCAACCCACATAATTGCCGACTTTAAATTCCTTAGGACCTCTCACAGGCTCGCTTGTGGAGGCTAGGATCAGTGGTAAAACAGTGCAAAAGAGAGCTAAGACTAAGAGAGAAGCCATGTTTGAGTTCTTCATTTTCTCTACAGAAACTGTAGTGGAAGGCCAGGTAGTGGCTATGAGAACTCTGGTGATGTTATGGGGGGGGCTATATGGAACCTCTGGTGAGAAGGTTATGGAGGAATTGGAAGGGGGAACTTGAATATTTGAAGCGTAACAGGTTATGGAAGTGGTGGACGTAGCGGTTATATTTGGCAGTTATGAACCTGAAACGAAGGGTCGTGCTTGACGGTTACATTTAGGATTCAAAGTGGTGTTCTCTTTGAACTTCGTAGAATTTGACTAGGTCAGTGGAACTTTGGAAGGCCAACGGTTTGCTCTCAGTTACTTAGCTAGCACGACTAGGGATTCCCTTTTTTTTTTTTGGGCACATCGGAAAAATAATTGCCCCAACCATAGACATGTCCTTGAATTATCTTGGTTCACACTAATTTTGTCTTTCTCCAACCTTCATATTACTACCATTGACTTTCATTTCTCTGTTCATTATTGTTATAGTCAATTTTCTTTCAATTAGTCTCATATTAGCTTGAAGTTCATGTTGATGATATCGAGTGGAATTTTATATTTGCTACATTTGCAATGAACAAAGAAAGTTGATGATTGATTGATGTACTAATTAATCATGTTTATCACACGCCTGCTCACCTTTTGCTTTTTTAAAAAATATATACATATCCCTCGTGGGAATGCTTAAAATAATTGTTATATGCTGGGCAATTCTTGTCAAAAACAATCATTAGTGTCTCTTGTCTCTTTGTTTAGGGGCTCTGTTCTAATTATAGTCTTTCAGACCTCTTTACATCTTCATGGTATGTAGTGATTGTTTAGATTTTATTGTATAGTGATATATTTGGATTTCATTGTAGTTGTTACATCTGTATATAGTGATTGAACACCGTGATTTTACAAAATTCTAAGAACTTGTTATATTATGAATTACTTTTAGTTGTGTGAATAAGAAAGATCTTGACAACTAAATTAGGACGAGATGATAAATTAGGTGCGCTATCATAATTTGGACATTAGAGCATTAATTGATAATTTACAATCCAAATGTAGTCATTCACATTGAAGTAACAAATCAAATCACAACCTCGAGAATAGTTTAAGTGGCAATAGGAAAGAGTTGTGAAACAAAACGTCTTGAATTTAAATTTTGGCAACCTCTTGAAGTTAGGTCATAAGAGATTTAAATATCCTGATTCCGGCGTGGATGTCCTATTTTTAACCAAATTTAGGAGAAAATTAGTTAAAATACGCATAAGTTGATCTAAACACTCATAATCGTTGAAAAAAAAAAATCAGATGGCATAGAGAATTCCTTAATTTAAATCATGGATTAACTACTAAAAAGATACATTAATCCATTAACATTAGAGTCTCATACACGAAACACTTCAAAATGTTAGATTACAAATGAAGACCTGATGGTTGGGGAGCTTCACACCTTACAACCACACAAGCCTTTTACGTGCAAGGACTTCTATATATATGCTTAGATATCATCACCAAGTACTGGAAGAAAAGAGAGAGATTGTCCGGATTGGAGAACCGTAGCCAGTGGGAGTCTGTTTGGGCCAGCTCAAAAAACCCATGGAGGGTGTCTTACAACTTGAGGGCTAGCTAAAACAGTTAAGTCCTTTTGGGCAAAAAAAGAGAGAATGGCCTTAGCCTAACGAGCGGGATAAGTGAAAAAGTAATTCTATTGAGATCTAATTTATTAAGACTTATTTTATTAACTTGACCTTTGAAATGATTATAGAGCCCATCAAATATTAAAATTTAGTGTTGATCTAATGGTTCTATTGAAATCACGTCATTATGTCTATAAATTAAGTCAAATTTTTAAATTCAAATAATATTACTCTAAGTGAAACTGTGAAATGTTCTTATAACAACAATAAAGAGTAGAAATGACTCTAAGGATGGTCTGAACTCTGAAGTGTGGGAGTACTCACTAATGTTACGGCGACCAAATTTTAGGACTAAATCAAGAGTCTAAATGACATAGCAGCATATTATTTAAAATTTTTATTGGGACACAAATGATATAACATCAAATAAAGAAGTTCAAATTAACTGTCATATCATTTGAGTTCTTAATTTGGTCTCAAAATTTGATTAGTGTAGCATTGGGGAGTGTGTTTGTGAAACCGTGAAGAACTGCTCAACTGGCAGCAAGGCTATGCAAAAGTGCAACAAGAGAACTGCTCTAACCCGTTGAAAACATGAAGAAGGAAGTGTGTGTGTGAGAGGAAGAGAGAGAGAGAGAGAAAGAGATGAGGGAGACAGTTTAATTCGCTATTTTCAGGTCATTCATCTCCTTAGTAATGGCCGGAATGCAGCTCGAGCTCCTTGCAATCCCACCTTTCTTCACTGAACCATTATCCCTCGGACTGATAGATTTGGCTCTAACTCCCCTCCCTTCCAACCTCGAGCTCTTCTTCAAGATCTCTCTCATGGCATTAGCTTGGCAAAGAACAGGGTATGCCCTCCCCAACTTATTGAACCTAACACAAGCACTCATGTGAGCACTCAAAGCCTCTTCTCTCTTTCCTCCATTTTTCTCCAACTCTTCCTTCACTGCTTCACCACATAATCCACAAATCCACTTTCCTGAGAACTTTTCACGAATTCGTTTTATGTACTCTGGCGTGCACTCTTCGCTCATACCACAACACTCGCACTTTGCATCTTCCACCTCGGAAATTGGTGGCAGTTTTGGGTCTAATGCCTCTTTGCTCAGTTCGAACGAGATGTCGGAAACTGTTCGGTGGAGGCCGTCGGTCGAGAGTCTCGGGGGCTTGCTGAAGTTGTTTGTCCGAGAGTAGGAGCTAACAACAGCATCTCCATGAGGTGCCATGAGAGTAGCAGAAAACCCTAATGAGAAAAAGGATGATTCTGAAGAAGAAGGTGTATTAAGATATGAAAAGCTGAGAAATTTGTGGGATGAGTTTGTGATTCTTTCTCATGGTGGAAGAAAGAAGAAGGTTGGGTTGTATTTATAGGGGTTCTCTTCAGTCTTCTCTTCTTTAGAAGCCATAATATATACTTTTGTGGACCACGGAAACTAACATGTCACTGTTCAATCTAAAAGCGTGCAGTCCTGCATGTGCTTGATTTTACGTGAACAGTTCAAAAGAAAGCAGCATTTTTTTTTCTTTTTAGGTGGAGGATGAGTATTCACTGTCTAATTTTTAGAATAATCAACAAATAGTATTTCTTTGTGGACATGATTTTCCTTTACATTAATTGTTTTATGAACCTGACCAGCAACCTATAAGCTTTGTTCGGTTTGGTAGGAAGAAATAGAAGAAAGTAGAAAGTGAAAAACGGACAATAAGGGAGAAAATGAAGGAAAATTCAACTAACTTTCTCGTTGGGTTTGGGAAAAAAGTCAAGGAGAAATTTCATTAGAAGAAAAGAAAATAATGGCGTATAGCATTCTATGTGACGAGTTAAGAGTTTGAATCTTATTCTTATGTATTATTTCGTTTCAATTTTATCACATTACTCATTTTTATTATAAATTTAATTGTTAATTAATTTATAACTCAATACATTTTTTTTTCAGACATCATTCATGTATGTTATTATACTTATGTTGACTTTTTTTTTAGGTTATGAATTTTGAAAATTTTTTGCAAATAATAATGGAAAAAAATTAATTTCAAATTATATAATTAAAGAAAAGAATGAAATAAAAATTATTCATATCAAAATTCATTTTATGTTTCATGAAGGCATGGGTTAAGGGTCAATGATCAGGGATGTTCGGGTCAATTTAAGCGCACATCCACTAATCTTTTCATTGGTTCAGTTAAACGTAGGTCATTCACGTCAGGATTACGATATTATAGTTAGTGATAATATAATATTGGTGTTTCCAACAGGAAAACATTTTGCTCCCTCGTACTTGTTTTCCTTTTCGAGAGTAGACCCAAAAGAGTAAAAGGAAGGAAACCAAACATTTTCCTTGATTACCTTCCAAACAAAACATAGCTTAAAGTACAAGTTATTGGGAGCCTGATACTAATCCTCAACCAACGATTCAAAGTTGTAACATTTTAGAGTGGTTCATCATAACGTATGGGGGAACTAACACAAAAAAATAAAGATTAAATATTTTTAAAACTTAATTTATTAATCTAATGATATGACAACTGATGTAGTTCTATGCTATTATTATTTTTGCAACTGTTAGACTTATTCATTTGAAAACGAATCACTTAAAAACAACACTAAATTAAGTTTTAATTTTGGTAATAAATAAGTGATCAATCAATTTAATTTATTACACACGAAAGTCATTGAATGGATCAATCTTTTCCTTCAATTTGTCCCAAATTTTAAATAAAAAAAAGATGTGGAGGACGTTGCAGATGTCTAGGACGGATATGATTTCTTCTAAGACAAGAAGACCACTCAAAGACATCCGGGACATCAAATATTTAGATGCTAAAAACATTAGTCAAAATTTAAATATTTTCTCTTACCTTTTCCTTTCTTTATATCATGCATAAACCCAATGACAATGATTTCTCTTTTTTATTTTTCTTTTCTCTGAAATTAAACGGCAAAAGTATCACATCTTAAAGTTGTGACCTCTCATTCTCACACAAAAAATGAAGCAGAAATCTCTCTGACTTTGCTAGTGTTAGGTGTTTTCTGCGGCCTTCATGTCCCTAAAAAATAGTGCAAGTTGCTGCATTGGTTTCACATGTTGCCTTTCTTCAGCCATACAAACCAACCCCCTCAGCTATCTCTCTTTCTTAAGGAGAGAACGCATGCAATGCAAGACAACCACCACTTACAATCTTGGGCTTTCCCTACCACCATGACCCTAGGTCTTCACGTGAAACTAAATCACACATATGAATGTGTGAGAGAGAGAGAGCCGTTTTGATGTTAGGGGTGGTTATCAGAAGGAAATAAGAGTATGGAGAAACATTGATTTGTATGAATCACAGGATTCCTGAAATAATGAGCAAAAGATGGCTTTAAATGCGTGTTGCATTGCATGCATATGGTGATCGTTCATTAGATTGTCAATTCTCTCGTGAGTCATGATCATGGAAGCTTAAAATACCTTTCTCTAAAGTCAAGTCAGGTGGGTTGGATCCTATAAGGAAAAGTCCTTTTGGGCTGAACTTGGATCGGATCAAAAAGTCCAAATGGCGTTCAATCTGGGCCTTTCTTTTTTATTTTCTTTGTGGGTTTTTTGGGTGGGCTAGTTAACTCTGCTCATTATCCCAGACCGGACCCCAATCACTTTGTTTTTTTCCCAAAGCCGTTAATGCCACGGGTTAGAGTCCAATTTTTTAATGGATTTTTTAATTTTTTGGATGACCTTATGACACGAGTGAGAGTCGATCTAGGCAAAATTCCCGTCTTCCACGAGGATTTGGGCTTTCTTCTTTTGGGCAACAAATAACTTTTTCTCTTTAAATTAAGGATTTGAGACAAGTTACTTGAGTCTGGCTCGAACTCAATTCATATTCTAAACGAATTGAATTTAAATAGTTTTTTAGATTCATTTAAAAAAATGAGTCTTAAAGGCTAGACTCAAGCTCGCAAAGTTAGACTCATTGATATATAAAACAATCAAGCTACTCAAATTATGCCAAAGCTTGAGTTCTAAACAATTCAAGTTTGAAAATTTTTCTTTACTTGTTTAAAAAAATGAGCTTGATAAACTCGAGTTCAAACTTACAAAATTTGACTCAATTAACACCATTAATTAAATATATTCCACAACCAAGCCCAAATTTCTGAATTGGGCAACATTCGTTACACTTTTCTATCTGCATGAAGAATGGTCATTGAAAATGTATGGTATTGGCCTGTAATTGGATGGCCATTCAAGTGTTAAACGTTGTAGGCCCATAATAACCAGTAACGGGTCATGACAGATCCAAATTGTGTTTTACCTATACTTACAATTGCATTATGGGCATTTTTGTCGCTGTAAGGTGAGGTTGGTGGTGCTTTGGAGGTGTATAAGTGGTCCTTGCGATAAATCCGTTAGCAAGTTTAGAACATACATTGAACATTATTATCGAGATAAATTTCCGGTGTTAGCAAGATTTGGTCCTTAAAAATCTCCTTTTGAAGGAAAACGCAACACCATTGAGCCAACACCTTTAGCTTTAGCAAATTTTCCTTAGAAAACTCTCTAAGAATTATATATGTAGGAGCCAAGGAAGAACTCCTCTGTTAACTAAATGTGAAAAAAAAACATGTGTTTTTCAATAAATGTGGGCCAAAAAGGAAAAATAACCGAAATCATGCAACTCTCAACAAGTCATAAAGATATACAAAGCAGCCAAAAAAGCTCAAAACTAGGGGAGTTTTTGTTTAATAAGAAAAAAAAACTACTAACACATGATTGCCTTTAGGCGCCTATGAACTTTTACAGGCTTGCAATGGCTTTACAGTCGTAAACACCTATGCTACGGGGATGAAGGAAAATTAGGTCGCTAGTGGAACCAAGACCAAAAAAAACAAAAAAACAAAACTAATTATTAATGAACAATTTGGTAATTTAAAGCATTTTTATATATAAAAAAAAAAACAATTTTATTTGTTATTTGCTTAAAACCGAAGCATACTTTATAACAATTTCTCGCACGTAGTGTATATGCACCTTAATATAGAAAACAAAAACATATGTATATTGCTATGTACACTGCATACTCGCTTAGCTAAGGAAAGAGAGTAACAACACCCCAAAAAAATAAATAAATAAAGAAGAAGAAGAAAGGATTAAAACAAGGATACCGTTTTTATACCTAAACCAGGAGCACAATGTACAACTAATGTGGTACCACTTTGTGTACAAATGTGTGTTTTGCATATTTTTGATGGACTTATGCAGATATTTGCCTTGGTGCCTCAAAGTTAGGCCATTTTAGTAGGTTGATTATTTTTCTTACATTATTATTTTTAAAGTAAATGATTACAAATGCATCAAAACTAAGATTTACGGCTATTAATAAATTTCATAAAATATTGAAAATATTTTTGTGGGTACCATAACCTTATTTAAATCTCTTGGATATGGAAGATTTAAAAAACGATGAAATTAAGATAAGTGTAAAATGCTAATTAGGTTCTTTCCCTTTTTTCTGGGTATACCAATATGATGAACTTTTTATGAAAAAACTAAATTAATATTCACTAATTTGGTAAAGACATTGAGGCTTCGTGCTTTATTTTACAGGAAAGAACACGTGGAGTAGGAAACCTCTCTCGCTAAGAAAACCTTTCTATGGGGGAAGGTTGACCATTTCTCTCAAAAGCAGTGGGTTTGGCAGCTACACGACACTTGTGTCCAAAAGGAACAGAAACAGGTTGAAGATGTAACTCCAAAATAGTACTGCATCAGCCCAGCCACTATCGCCCTTTTGGGTACTAAATAAATATCTGCTAGTTGTTTTACAGGGTATTATAAGAAAAAATATCTTCTTTGTTTTTTATATTTCTTGATCTATTAGCTTAAATATTACTATAGAATGAAATTGTTTTTGATTTAATTTTGCTGGAATGTGGATTAAGTAAATTTTTAATGCATGGTGACCTCTGGTAGATTTTGTTAAAAGGAAAAAAAAAAAAAAA